GGGTTTTGACTCTAAATGGGTCAAAATGGAATTTTTCAAATTCAACCCTTATTTTAGAGGTATGGTTTTTTTTTAGCAAAGTATCTTATTTTGATCCTTAGAATCCAAAAATCATATGTGCCTAAGGGGGCGTCCATTAATCACGTGAGGTTTTTGGGGAGAGGGGAGGGGGGTTTGACAAAAAATCCCGAAATATCACGTGGAAGAGGAGGGGTATAGTAAGATATCACGTGTATTTATTTTTTAAATATTTTTTTTTAAAAAAATGTGAAATAATGCTCACGTGATTGATAAACGCCCCCTAAGCGACTTTTTTTGACTCATAGAAATTGACCCGCTCTAATATGTTGATAAAACAAAAAACTTTCCAATATGCATCTAGATAATAAAATAGAAAGAAAACTAAGATATGTTTCTTAGAATAAATGCAATAGATGCATACTTTTCGAGTCCCAATTTGACTCTTCATAAATTAATACATAAACATATAACAATAACATGTCAAAGAAAAGATTACTTCACAAACAAGCATATTAGTGAAAAATATAAATGAAATATGTTTCGGAAAATAATTAAACAAAAATAATAATTTCGATCATCACGCCTCAAAGGACGAAATACTAAATAGATGAAATATTGGGAAGAAACAAATTGGGGCTCGAAACGTATGGATCTATTAAATTCACTTTATAGAACATATATTAGTATTCTTTCTATTTTATTAGCTAGATGGGTGCTTGTTGAGAACTTTTTGGTTTATCAATATTTTTTTAAAAAAATATTACATATATGTATATATTCTTGAAATGTTGAATTGCAGCCAGTCGTCGAATTAAAAGAACAATCAATAATGATCTATATATCTATACGTTTCGACACGGTATGTGTGTCATTATTCAGCAAAGTTTTTTTTTTAATTTATAAAGTATTACACCAGGAAAAACACTCACAAAAAAATAAACTAACATTACTTAAAAAACAAAACATATAATAAATAAAGTAAATCTTTTTATAAAGTTAAAACAGAAAGTTATGTAGTCTCGCTATATGATAACAACGTATGAAATATATATATATATATATATATATAATATATATATATGTGTGTGTGTGTGTATGTATATAAATATTTATATAGCATTTACATGTATATATGCAAATATATTTAGGCAAATGCATTTTAATGTTAAATAGGCTTGCATAGAATGCTAATTTATTTGAAACCATCACTTAACCTACATATTGCCATTGTCATATGTTCTTAATTGATCGTATATATATACATAATACATACATACATACATATATACATATATACATGCATACATACATACAATAGTTATTAAACTAACATACGTAGATAATTATAAAACACTCATTGAACATGTAGGTATAGATTTGAATATAATTAAACAAAAATATTTATGTCACATTTTCTCAAGTATTATATCATCGTTTTATATAATAATAATAATGATTATAAAAAATATACTCATTATAATTATATAGAGACATTAATATACATGTACATGAACATATACACATATATATATATATATATATATATATATATATATATGCAAGTGCATGCTTTGAACACCATTTTTATCTTTATTACTAATTGTTCATATTTACCTCTCGAATTTCTGCTTTCATACTTCCGTGTCCTGTCCAATGGTTTTCAATTTCCTATATTTCTATTTTCACCCAAGTCGTGGATCATTTGTATTGTTTTTCGTCTTAAAACTGATTGCCATTTCTCCTATCCTATCACCATCACCAAGTTTCATTATCATCCCAGACGAGTGACCCTGGGGTACTCCTTATTAGTTCCTCTCTTCCATCCTATTCTTTTCTTTGATGGCGTCGTGCAAAAGGCTTTTTACCATATGGACCCATTTCACTTTTCTTTTCTTTTCACAATTATATCCTGTTATTTTATTTACCATTCTTCGAGGTAGAACTTCATTTTCGGGCAATTGTATGTATATGTATGTATGCATGTAATACGTATGTATGTATGCATGTATGTATGTTTTTATGTATGTGTGTGTATGTATGTGTGTGTATGTATGCATGTATGTATGTATGTATGTATGTAATGTATGTATGTGATGTATGTATGTATGTATGTATGTATGTAATGTATGTATGTATGTATGTATGTTGAGTGTGTGTGTGTGTTTGTTTTTTCGGCGTTGAAACATGTTTTATATATCTATATGGAATTTGGCGACACTTGATATGTGTTGAAACAAATAGCAAATTTAAATAACAAAAATTTAGCAATAAATAAAAAATTTGTTAAGAAAATTAAAAAAAAATACACCATACCAGGAAGAACAAAACATAAAGTGAACACATTTTTTTATATAAAATTTTTATTAGAAATTAAAAAATAATTAATATATATTAATAATATAATAAATGCTCACTTTAATTTTTAATCTACATTTTGATTGACAAGAGCCTGAAATAGTATTTATTATTATTGATTACGGCTTGCTTATGAATAAATAAATAAGTAAACTAAAACTTTTTATAAATGTGTTAACTATATGGTTTGCATTCTTCCTGGTGTATAAATGGACCATATAATATGGTGTATATATTTTGTTCAAAACAATTCCTTCAAAAAAAAATTCATTGCTATATTTTTGTCATTTAGATTTGTCGAATGATGTCACATATCAAGAGCCGAAACGTCCAAGCAAAAATTGTCATATTACTCTCTTACTATTTTTAAATTCAATTCAATTTAAGTTATATATGTGTAAAAACTAATTAATATCTGTTTCATAATATCAATTAAATAATTTCTAAACTTCAAGGTCAATTAAATTAATTCTATATACATTCAAATTGAGGAACTCTAGTTTATTATGAAATAAAGTGCTGCAATGAACCAGTGATTTTTGAAAGGCGTTTTCTTTAACAAGAATGCCTGCCTAGCCGTCATGATATAAATCATGATTTGATTTAATATATGGACTTATAAAACGGTTTCAAACTAAACCAATAAGTGTAAAATACAGCTTCAATTAACAGGATTAACAATTAGTGTAAGTATGAGTTATCATAATTAATTTTCTGAAATGATTTATTATTAGATTGCAAAACACTTTTTGTTTTAGATTCGTTGTATAACTTCTAATTTATTCACACTGTGATTAAATGTTTGTTCGGTAATGAATTAAGTTTTTATTAAATTTAGTAACTGAAAAAAGTAATTAATAAATCTTATGCCAAATTTAAACTTATTTGTTTTGAAATAAACTTTAAAAGGTTTTGGATTAAATTTAATTTTAAATAAACTCAATGATTAGGATGCGTACATTAGTCACGTGATAAATTTTTTAAGGATTTTAAGGACCCCCATCCCGGTGGAGATTTTCCAAATCCCCCCCCCCCCGCTCTCCGCAACCAAACATCACGTGTATTTTTAGATATGAGAAAAAATTGTGATTTTTTTTTTGAAAATGCTTGGATTTTTTGAAAAAAATTTACTTAAAAAATAAATACACAAGATATCTTACTACACCCCTCCCTCCCCCAAGTAATATTTTTATTTATTTATTTATTTATTTATTTGATATAATTCGTAAATACTGTATCTCAGTCCGACAATTGCTCTGGTATGACTTGGTATTCATTTCGTGATTTTTTGTCAAACCCCCCCCCTTCCCCTAAAAATGTCACGTGATTAATGGGCGCCCCTTAGGGACTTTCATATTTCATGCCACTACTTTGGAAAACCAACAAAATGTAAACTTTCAATTATCAAATTTATGAAAGATACAAAAATTGTTGTTTCAAAATAATACACAAATTATTATTTTTAGCGTGAAAAATGATTAAATTCGATTAAAAATATTTATCTTATCATGGCTTTTGCTGATTGTCTCGCTTAGACAAATAATTATTGAATGGTGTACAAAGAACAAACCATATTTTAAAAAAAATTAAAAAAAAATTACCAATTTTTATTTATTGATTACCAATATTCATTTGTGCTAGATTTTCGGAAGAGAAAGAAAGGTTTTAGTCAGATATTTATACCAATTTTTTTATTCTTATTATTAAAGAGAAGTTTAGGTTTTGGTCAAAAATTCATACCAATTTTTTTTAATCATTACCAGTATTCATTTGTGCTAGCTTTATTAACTTCCCGAAGGAAAAGGTTAGATTTTGATCAGAAATTCATACCATTTTTTTTATTCATTACCAATATACATTTGTGCTAGATTTATTAACTTCCCAAAAAAGAAGGTGAGGTTTGGTCAGAAATTCGAATTTGCTGATTTTATTTTTTCTCGACGTTTCAAGGCCGTCTGGATCGTTTGACGCCAAAATTGGACAAAATATGTGTATGTGCGTGTGTGTGTGAGAATGACCTATCAATGTTTTAAATTGAACCAATTTTGAAAATTCAATATATGTTCCAAAAATTTCATTTGGGGATCGCAAAAGATCGTCTGGGTCGATCGAAAAGTGATTATTTGTAATGAAATTTTGAAATTTTTTTGACTATTTATTGGAAACTTTGTATGATCTTAAATAGATGTTCCAGTAATGCGTTGCAGAGTTCTTATATCCTAATATTTATTCGTACTAGATATTTGTACGTTTTTGTGTTTAGTCTATCAATTTATTAATTTTTCTTATTGTTAGCTAATATCGCGACCCTACCTTTGAGAAATCCAATAATTCTAACATACATTTACGCTCGCATAGACTGGTAGAAATACACACAGAGTCCAGTAATTGAAAAGCGAAAGTGTTTTATCCAGTAGAAGTATTGGTATATCTCTAACTCGGCAATTCTAGATCAGGGCAGCACAATAAATAATTATTACCTCGGGTAATAAAAAGCAAAATATTTTCTAGAAGAACTAGAATAGGTCTATATTTTCAAGAGAAAAGGAATATCACTACTTGATACCAGGTTGTACGTTGCGCGGGATTTGAATCCGAATCCTTGTGGTTGCAAAACCGAGACTCTTACCAGAAACAACCCAATTACTTCACTAAATAAACAAATTAAAAATGGCAATAAAATATTTTTTACATTATCATAATTTTGTAATGTACATTGTTTGTATCTATAGCTATCGATTCCTCTGCTCTACAATGTAAGTTAATACTACTTTTACCAATTTAATGGCTTCAAAATAATAATTTTTAGTACACTGTCACTGATTGCAAGGCCAAGGTTTCTATCTCTTACTACAAACGCCCTCAAAAAATATGATTTTCAAAAATTTATTATTCAAAATTGTCTTGTTTTGCTTTGGCTATATTTAAATAAACATTTTTCATTTGTTTCTAACTTTAATTTTTAACTTCCCTTAGGGATTTAAGTTATAGTAATCGTCCAGAGTTTCACGTTTCAGAGGTTTCTGAACACTTTAAAAACTTCCTGCTTGTGTTGACGAAACGATTGCTTTTGGGGAAAGAATAATTATTTTTACTAAATTTTATTCTTCGAATATCTATATAATATTTCATCATGATATGGGAAGTTCCACGAGTTTGACTTAAGGCACGATGCCATACACCACTTGTTTGGTTTCATTATTGATAGTGTTTTATATAAAATAAATGATATATATTTAGATCACTTCTAGAAATTTGAATGTCCTTAATAAATACTGAATGATTTAGTTAGAAAACAGTTAGTTAAATTAGAGTTTCAAATCTCAAAAGTGCGAAGGCCAGTAAGAAGTTGCTTTTGGAAAAATGTGTTTAATCTCCAAAATAGTTTATTATTATATTTTATTATAGTTTATTATAATTTATAGTTTGGTGAAAAATCTCAAACATAAAGAAATTTCACTTCTAAATCGTCATGCATTCTAGAAAATTGTTATTGCATAAACCCAATTTGAACGTAAAAAAACCAAATCTAAAATTGAGCCATAAAAACCAACATTTACATCTTACGAGGAGTGTTTGTAGGACTTTGGTAAGAATCCTTTGAAATCACAAAGTGCTGGGTTCAAATTCGCGTTATGGACCGCCTGATTTGAAGCAGTAGTTTCACTTTCAATATAGATAAATAAAATGTTTCCATGTAAAAATAGCCCTTCTCGGTGTTGAGGCAAAATTCCACTGCTAGCAAAGGACAACCACCGGTTTGCCTTCTAATATAAAAAAATCATGTCAAATAGAAAGGATAACTATTAGGCTACCTTCTAATATCTAGGCAGTGAAGCCTACATCACGAGAACAAAATTTTAATCAACTTGCATATATTGAAGCTTCATTTGTTATACATTAACATACACACAAGTGAAAGAAAAAATTAAGAATTCGAGCAAACATGGAGAAGGAGAAGGTTGACAATATAAACCATCTAGTAGAAAAGTTAATTTTTTAAATTAGGATTTTTTCACTCAATCACAACCTAATAGACCTATAAGTTGTTGTGCTAATTTGAAATAATACTAGTCTATTCGACAAATGGCAACCCAAACAGTTGTCACATCTCTGTATGATATATTATTATTACAATTTCTGTAATAGAGCAAATATTTTTATTGATGCAACAATGCCAGATGAGGGCTATTTTTCACTTGGAAACATATTGCTATCTATATTACCAAAGGAAAATTGTTGTCACTACTGCTTGACGTGAAACGAACCCGTGATCTCTGATCCAAGTCCAGTCGTTCTACCAACTTACCTACGAGCCAGCCCTTGAAATTAGGATAACAAAAAAAATCTGGCAGTTTGTGCTACGATTTGATTACTAAGACCAATTAGGACAATCGAAGTTTTCAATTGTAGTGCAGTACAAATTGAGTAATATTTTTATACTACATCCCCCAAAATTGTTGCCAACATGATTGCTTGTTTTCCTTGTATGGAAAGTGGTGAACATTTTAACCAAAACAGTGACCCAACTTCTGATTGCTATTCAGAACAAAAATCAAACATGTAACCCTTCATTCAGCCTCTGCAGAGGATGGGTTATCCTATAAAGACATTAAAAAAATACTGCAAACCAAAGATTCGCAAAGAATGGGTTTTGGATTGGATTATCAGGCTTCAAAACGGATTAAAGGTAAATTCTACGGCATAATACAAGAAGCAATACCTATCAGACCATGGTATGACAAGTTTACTGAATGTCGATCGATTTATTTCTACAATATTTAGACTAAGATTTAACCATACACACACTCCGTTTCACCTGAGTAGAATTAGGATCCTAATTTCTATTGCTTGGGTGGAGTGACTAGGGGGGATGCTGTTGACGCCATTATGGAGTGCAAAAAATGGGAAAAAGGTAGGCAAGAACTGTGGAGGGAGATAGTAAGGAAAAAAATCTCCCTCCCAACCAATTTTATAACATTATTGACAAAGAAAAGGATATATGGAGCACTATACAATTATATACAAGCAAATAAAATAAAAGTGTAAAGGTTAATTATAAAATGCGTATGACTAATGTACGTGTATACAAAGTCAACAAATAAACAATAAAAAAACCTTAATTCATGTTTTTCCAAATATAATAAAAGTAAAATACTATAAATATTTTTTCGAGATTCATTTATCCCTGAAGATTGGGCGCCGCTGTTGAACAGTTAGTCTTCTGACACAAATCGTACCGTTCGTTGGTAATAACGCCGTTGTAGGGTTTTGCGTAATAACAAAAACCAAGACCGATAATGAAAGTGAAATCATAACGACATGCTTCTTTTTTACTATTACCATGATATTCCTCAAGCCTGGTCTAGTCCACCGAGACGACGACCGAAGTCAGAGATGCTGCTGATTTGATATAACAGCTGATAGTGAAAGGGCTGGCAAGTACTTTGCAGTTGATCCATGAATAAGGTCATGGGTAAAAGATTTTGAAATATATAATAACAGTCCAGTCTATGAAGCTAGGTGTGAGTGGCATTTTGGTCAAGGCGAGTTCCATGAACTTCCTGACATGAGTGAAAAAGCAACCAATAAGTTAATTTATGAGTTATATGTATGTAGGGCATCATTATGTGAGATACTATTGCTAATTATTCAATTTTGTTCAAATTTGCAAATATGTTAACTG